TTGAAATAAATAAGTATAAAAGTATAAAAAGTATAAAAGTATAAATATATAAAAAGTATAAAAATATATATAATAAGTATAAAAAGTATAAGAGTATATAGTAAAAAAATAGAAGTATATAAATAATAATATATATCCCTATACTATATTATCAGAAATTAAAAAAAATAGTAAAATATAGTAAAATTGATATTATTATTTTATATTAAAATTTGTTATTTTATTAATAAAATAACAAATTTTAATATAAAACAATAATATCAATTTTATTATGTTTTACTATGTTTTTTTTAATTTCTGATAATATAATATAGAGATGTATATATAATATAATTCTAAAATATTCTAAATTCTTTACATGATTTTTATAATTTATAAAATATTACAAATTATGAAATTAACAATTTTTATAATATAATTATAACACTATTTTTATTATGATACTATTATTACTTTTGTTAGAATTTAATTACTTGCTTTGCTAGTATCATATTGCTATTTTTACTATAATTAAATTGTTGATTTAATTAAATTTTTATTATTAGTTTAGCTTGGATCATTTTGTTAACTTTGCTATAATCATATTATTTGTTTTATTTTCTAAGATTAGTAAATAAAATCTCTTCTAACTAGTATTCAATAAGATTATGATATGAATTATCCAATAAAATATAAAATAATTAATATAATAAAAGTTCATATTATAACAGTATTTAATAAATTACTAATAGCTTTATATTATATTATGTTAAGCAAATTATAGTTATTGACTTTGAACTTTAAATTATACTGTACTAAACAAATTGCTATTATTGAATATAAAGCTTTATATTATATTGTACTGAACAATTGCTATATTAGAATTATTGAAATTGAATTTTAAGTATTTTAGTTTTTTTTGAATTTTTGATTATTAATAAATATTTCTCACTTATGAGAAAAACAAAATAAAAGAATCTTTGTTATTATTATATTGTTTTAGCTCTGAAAGCTTTATGCAAGTATAGAGAATTAGCCTTTTAAATCTCTTTTTCTATTCTTTTATTCTTTTATACTCTTTTTTCTCTTTACTCTTCCATATTATTATTATTTTTTAAGTAAATACTATTTTTGTAGAAATTGATATAGATCTTAGATATTTTAATATTTTTATTAGTTTATTACTCTCTTCCAATTCAAGCTAATTTAATGATTAGCAAACAAACTTGTAATAATATTATTATTAGATGTATATATATCACTGAAAATTATTTATTATAATTGTTCTTCAAGAAAGTGAAAGCTAAATTTAATATAAGATCAATAATTCTGTTCTCATATTAAATTTAAAAGGATCATGAAAATTTAACAAAAAAAGAAAATCAAGTCAAAAAACAATAATACTATATTAAGTAGTGATTCATCAGAAGAAACCAGCAATTTGTCAAAAGAAAATCATATACTGCCAAAGAAAATATAAAGAAAACATTGTTAATAGAATTCCTTCTAGTAATATAATCTAATAATAACAGTCATAATAATAATAATTACATGTATAATAATAATATTATAATAACAATATTTATAATATATACATGTAATAACTAGCATTTATTGTACCTTTTGGATACCAATAATTCTGTAATACATGTATGTTACAATGCATAATACATGTAATTAGCATTTATTGCAGCTTTCGTGTACTTATAGTTTAATAAGAGACAAAATTTAAAGCTTTATTTTTGAACAATAACTTCTAATGAGATTTCGGATACTCTATATTTCACAAAATGAATTTAAAATTGTTAAATGTTAATTTCTATATTAGTATTTTATAAAATCTGACTTCAATTGCTGCAATTTTTTGGGCTTTAGTGTTTTATCAAATATGACACCTACGGCAAATATAGTATAAACTAAATGTTACAAATACAAACAACATTCGCACAGTTGTCGAAGGACTTGGCCCATCGTGCTTTTACTATCCCGTTGATACAACGGACACAGCGTTTTAGATAGTGGTATAATAACTCGGCATTCTTGGCGGATGATTTGAACGCTGTAATCACATCGGGCACTCTACTAAATGATCTACATGTACTTTTAGTGGTGCTCGAGAAACAATAGCACGATAGTTCACTAGCGCTAGCAAAAAAAGGCAAATCTGTTGTGTTTGGCGTATCGGTATCCCGTCCTGAGAGATGTCAATTGGCAAATAAAATTAAAGATATTCGCACATAACAAAATTTCAAATTACACAAATGTATTGATTTTTATACGTACGAACGTAATCTGTTCTGTACATGTAAAAACACTATCATCTTCATTGCAATCATAAAAATGGAATCACCACAAAGCACGCAAATAATAACATCATCGCTCATGTCTACAGAAGAACCTCTGCTTGAACACATAGAAATAAAAACGCACGCCCAATTGATGTCTCAATTAAAAATGATTCACACGTTCTCTATCGATTTTTCAATCGACGTGGATTCTCCACCAACAACCACAATAATCGCCCAGCCAGCAACAGCACACGGACTAGCTTCCGCGATAATTCAAGCTTATTCTAGGCATCAACACTTATCTTTATCGCCAGACGACATTTGGTTAACTATTGCACAGGGTGTAAGTCGACATATTAATTACAATGCAGAGCGGTTCCGTCATTATTTTGTAGAGCACGAGGGTAAAGAAGATATAATAATTGATGTCAGGGATATTCTTATGACTCCTGGTCATGATACTCCAATCACTGGAGATTGGCCAAAAGCGATTACTCGTCTAGTGAATGAGACAGACAACAGAATAAAGAAAGTTGACTTGAAGAAAATTGTTGAATGCGATTTTTCCACTTCTGATTTCACGTCAATTATCACAAGCCGTATTATTCTATTGGATGCAATGAAAGAGTATTTCACTTACCATATGTTGATTATGGGATGTGGGATCCCAAAACTGACTCTGAAAGGTACGCTAAACGATTGGCTAAATCTACAACAAAAAGTTGCGAATCTACGATCTTTGGGATTGGACTTGGATTTTTGGTTAGATCGTTTGGAGCCAGTTATTGCACAATTTGTCGCAACATATAAAGGAGAAGTGAACGAAGATTTTTGGAGTGTTATTAAATCTCAGAAGCCGTATGGAAGCGGGATGATGACTCCGTGTTGGGATGGTTGGATTTGTGCATTTTTCCCGTATGATAAAAAGGGGAAGAAATTGAATCTGAATCAAATTGTTCCTGATCAGATACCTGATGGGTTATTACATGTACCATTTATTATTAGCTCACCCTTCCAGACTAGAAATTGCCAAATGTCTGCTGGATTTCTTGGTGCTAGACAAGAAATTATTGATAATGAGATAGTTGTATCACCCGTTATTGGGTGGTATGTGAGTGACGCATAAGTTCAATTATCGTTGAAGACTTTAATTGTATTCCTATGAATTAAATATCTAAATTATTTTTTTTCGATTATACGTAGTTATTTTTTGGTCAATAAGTAAATGCCATTAGATTTATCAAATAATTCTCTATAAAATTATACTGGTTAATTTAGTATGATTACAGTATTTTACAATTAATGTTAATGTAATAACGATACGTAATATGCAAAATTGCGAACACTGTTCATTTAGCATGCACATGTACATAAAGCGATTTCCAATAACGATAATGATAAGAAAAATTTGATTTCATCGTCCCGTAAAAACAAACCACAACTGCTTTGACGCATACTTATTTCCATTGTCAATAGCCAATCGATACCACTTAGCAGCCAAATGTAAATCTTTTTTCGTTCCCCAACCATAATGAAAACAATTTCCCATGGCATACTGTGCAAAAGCAATCCATTCTTCTTTTTCGCCTTCTTCAACTGATTTACGAAAACATCGAAACGCCTCATTGACGTCTCGACGAGTACCGGCTCCTGTATGATAGCAATGTCCAACATTATAAATTCCGGTCAAGTTCCCGGCGTCGGCAGCTTTTCGATACCACTCGAAGGCTGATTTCACATCTCGAAGTGTTCCATTTCCGCTATTGTACGCTTTTGCAAGAAGGACTTGTGCTTCAGAGTCATGAGATGCTGCGGATATTTTGTAGCAGGCTAATGCTTTTTCGTGATTTATTTCGACGCATAGATTGGATGAATAACATATTCCAAGTTGAACTGTAGCCTTTATGTGACCTTGTTTCGCGGCTTTTTCGTACCAATGAAAAGCTTTAGTGTAATGATTAGGTGTTGATAAATCGTCCCGATGAAAATTGGCGTATTGGAATTGACCTTCAGAATACCCAGATTTCGCAGATTTCTCACACCAACAAAGATATTTCGATAAATCCAGTAATGTCCCTTGAGCGTTAAGATAACAATTTGCCAAATTCAATTGCGCTTTAGGATTTCTATATTCCGCAGCTTTCTGAAAATACAGAAACGCTAAATAAAAATTTTGTTTAGTTCCAATCGCGTCTCGATAGCACACCCCCAATGCATTCTGTGAATGGGAATCTTGCTTTGCCCGATTCCACATATCGTACCAATAAAAAGCTTCAACGTCATTGATTTCGTCCACACAAATGCGATATCGATAAAAGATTGCAAGTATCGGTCGATATTTGTATTTTGTTTTGGCGAATCTTTTTATCGTTTCGACGAATTCATCGGTTGACGATATACGCTTTTTATTTATGCTGATGAAGTCACGGAGATGTTGAACAATTTTGTTCTCGCTTTCGTATGATTCGAGGGATGTGAAAAATATTTTGCATAGTTCTTCGGGAATCGTTTTTGGTTTTCGCAGAAATATCCGGCTTGTGTTTTTTAATTTTAATTGTGGTATTGATAATAGTGTTGCAGAAAATGGTTGTTCCATCTTCAACGTATACTTGTGGACAAATGGATAAATGAAAAACTTCTTTATGCTTTTATCTAAAAGATTTCATGAACAACCAAATTCAATTTTATAATAAATTGGGATTTATTATTATACATGTATACAGTATAGTCATTTTGGTGCTGTACAATAGATAATGAATGCGTACGTACTTTAGAGTTCTATTTATATCATTCCCTCTCAATAACGATAATAAATGGCATCATTGATCACTAATCGAACTTCTACCACCAACATCCAAAAGAAAATAGAAGCTTTATAGATGTACGGGTATTTTATGTCTTTCTCCTTTCTAGTAATTCTTAAAATCAACAAATCACATATCGATATGAGGTAGCGAATGACTGTATGTTGTACAAAAAATTGGGCGAGGTTGTTTCAAATACGTTTTTGGGAATACGGAGTTTCAGGTGGTGTTACAAAAGCGGGGGGCTTTTGTTTGTTTAACTAAATTAAGTTTAGACGTTGAATATTGTTATCATTAGTACCAAATCAAAAATACAGTATGTATACGTACACTCGGTGGACAAAAGTTTACAATCAGCAATGATCTACAAATGTAGACCACGAAAATTAGGGTAACTTCGACA